GTTTAAGCAGGTTCTTACAAAGATTTCATGACATTTATGAAAACACCAATCTAGGTCAGTCTAACGCAACTAGCTAGGGATTGGAAGAAAAAAAGAAAAGGAAATGCGTATCAACTACTTTATTCTTTGTATCGATTTGTGCTGGAGAGAGTAAGTTTCAGGAAGATTGGCAAGGAAGGGTACTTTCTACAAAGTGCATTTAGATCACGGACCCCCCAGAAAAAATCCAGCAATTTTCCGTGAGATTGAACCAAACCGGAGGAAGGAATGAGGCTTTGAAAACCCTCCCCGAAGAAGTTGAGGACGTGTTGAAAGGTAAAGGAGAAGTTAATAGGGGCGCGGTTTGACAATATTATCAATATTTAGATTTTGGAGAAGAAATGCTAGGCCTAGGGCACGACGAATTAGAACCCTGGATGGAACTCAATCTTGAGGATTCTAAGTGAGTTCTTAGAGATCGAGACTTGTTGTGAACTACGAAATAATTCATTAAGGGTTCTACAAGAATCTAGCAAAAACGGATGAAGAAAGAGAGAAGATTTTGGAAGGATTAATGGAGCAGCAAAAGGACTGGCGGCCACACCTCTTCAGATGCCTGCAAATGGCGGTGTACGTTTAAGAAAATCGGTTTCACCATTCCACGTATTGTTTATAAAATTTAGGCGAGATGTGCATTCTTGTTACCACTCGGGGAAATGGATACCTAGCGACGTGAGAACATTACAGCAAATAGACAATTTAGTGAATTATTTTATGTGCTTCAGCGACAGAAGCGTGCGGCACCAGGAGATGAAGATGCCTCGGAAGGTGGAAGAAAAAGATTGAGAAGATTCTAGAAGAAGGTTTTTTGGACAGCGTTTTTGTATGGAGTTTTTGGCGTATGTGTAAATGAGTGCTTGCACCTTTGCACCCTTTTTGCGCTCATGAGAATGTGATTTTGTTGTTTATTTTGTTGATACTTATTTTGTTCCGATTTATCATCTCGTGCTGTTTCAATTGACGCTGAGCATGCTCATTGCATCTGCTTTTGCATGTGATTAGCTTTTCTAATAAACTATAAAACGTTACAATAATTGTTTGTACATATCTATCTCAAGAATTTAGGCGCATTAATTTAGCACATCTGCCCATAGGAAAAGAAAGGAAGATTATTAACGCAATGACAGTAAGCTGTCAAATCTGCAGTCTCCAGAAGAGGCATATCTAGAGGGAGAGCGGGACAACATATAGATATTAGCCCGCCAAAGGCACTCCGCTCGTCCGCTTTGATGCTAGCGGACGAGCGGAGTACTTTTAGCGGGGAGTGGAGGGAAGTACTCCGCTCGCCCGCCAAGGGTACTGCGCTCGCCCGCTAAAGGTACTCCGCTCGACCGCTTCATATCTCTAGCGGGCTGCCCGCGTGCCTCTAGAGGACGAGCGGCGGGAGGCATGATCGCCCGCCCGCCGCTCGTCCGAGTTATTGTCTGAGAATGTAGAAGATCATTGGACGACGTAAGCGCGACCAGATCAAGTCCATTTGCTCCATTGGAATGACTCGTGAAAGGTCGTTTGATGGTGTAAATACTGCTATATCAACAATACGCTTTGACAGCCATCGCTGCTTTTCTCTGGTTACGTGTAATCTATCCTCACAATAAACTGTGTTGCCGCTCACGGTCTGCACGTAACTAAATTTGTCGACAAAGTAGGAGGCATCTTCCCCGCTTAGCTTCAGAAGCATAAAAGCTGTTTGCCCTTGAAGTAAGTAGTCTTCGCCATGAATTCGTGGACTTTCTGTTTGAGAAGAAGAAGCAAACTATTGCTTAAGTGACGATTGACCTTCCAGATGCTCGGAGGAATGATCGCAAAAAGGCCAATTCACAAAACGAGAACATTTTGCGGAACTCGCTCGCATACTGAAAAAGTTAAAGTGAATTCTCTTTTGAGCCCGTGGAAAATTTCCATTTGGAACATCTACATCGCCTCTTTCTTGGCTACCAATGACAAAAAAGCTTGGTATTCGCTGCTTTTTGGCCATTTTTGATTGTTGTAGTCGACGAATGTTTTTGCGAAAAAATTCTCTCAAGCATCCATCTGAATAAAAAGTCATCAAAACGAGGACTATATAACCTTTATAAGCAACTAGCTGGCAAACCCGCATCCGCACGGCGCTCAACAACATATTTGTAATCAGCATGCTCACTTACCCCCCCCCCCCCTCCCCCTCCCGTGCCAGCTCCCAGCCCGTAGCTCAAACTTTGCAAAAATGGATAAAATCGATATCGATCAATAACAAAAAGAGCCTACGACACCCACCCCTCCCCGAAGTGTATGTGTGTCAAGTTTGGTCCCAGTCAGTTCAAAAATAAAAATTGCTATTCGGAACAACTTACAGGCAGACATACAGATCTACGGACATTTAGCTCTATATTTGAGATTAGATTGAAAAAATCAAAAATAAGCCGCTCATCGGTTCTCAACCACGCTCTAGTATCAAATAGCGAGAAGCAGAGAAAACTTTGAAAGTGATTAACTCACCAAAGATGACTTCGTATTGATTGCAGGTAGACTATAGGAATGAGTTTGAGCTTCTTCTTGACGCTGTCATCTTTTCGACAATTTTCCTCTGCAGGTTAGCAGTATCTCGGAATTTTAGCGAAGAAATTTCGCTGATGTAAGGATGGCAATCGTCTAGTGCATTCGATATGGAAAGGATAGCGAAGATGTAAATTAGCTCAGGCAACACATTATGGCATTACTCCCGATGGCGAAGTTTTGGTCAAGAGAGTCGATAGGAGAGCCAACCGCACAGCGAAACGCAAGTGATTCACTGCTCGCATTATTAGAGAAAAAATCAGATCTCTGATTTCCATAGAGCTGTACTGCATCGCTGAAAAACGAAACAACTGATAAACTACTGTCATCATGAGACATCAAGAATGTCATTTTGTTTTCCGTGTAAAAACTTGTGTCGCATACGGGAAGCGAATTTGCTGGCCTGAAGTAAGCCTGAAAATTCAGAAAAAAAAGTTGCAGAATCTAAAACATTATTGGAGGTGCGTATGTGCGCTAGAGATGCTGGGCGCACCCATTGGCCTATTCTGCTTCCGGAACCTCACCGAAGTCTCACACACTCGACAACAGCGACCACTAGATCAACGATGACAATCAATAATTCGAAAATCTTTTTATAATGCCAATTATATGGCCCTTACAATTTATCTGTACTTTAGATAAGCCCTGCTATTACTGTGGTTAATTTGGTGTTATTCTGTAAACTGTGGATTTTCTTATGATTTTATGTATGGTAACAAAAATTCAGGAAAGGGGGGGTCGTATCTGGGTCGCATCTAAATTTTTTCGGGGCTATCGAAGCTTGCTGGCTGCAATTTTGCTGTAATATGAGGCCACCCGCCTTCTTTCCCTCATAAAAATTTCAGGCTGTTTTATAACTTCTCTGGTAAGTTACAAAATTTTTCAAAAATCCCAGTTTTTGCTTTCTAGGATCGCATCTAAATTTGCGAGAGCGCATCTATTTTTCGAGCTCACTGCTCCTCAAGGGCTGAAACTTTCTCTATGAATAGCCTGGGCACTATGCTAAAGAACCTGATCTTTGCAGCCTCTCAGTCTTTTCCTTGCCTTAGTTACGAATTTTCAAACTACTTTGCTCATGCACGTTTTTGACGTCGTTTTGGACGGCGCTGAAGCGGTTTTTTTCGCAGGAAAAACTGTGGAAAAGGTAGAAACTGAGCTTCTTAGTCGAAAACATTTTTTGTAGATCAAGAATGTCATTTTGTTCTCCGTGTAAAAATTTGTGTCGCATACGGGAATCGAATTTGCTGGCTTGAAGTATGCCTGAAAATTCAGAAAAAAAACTTGCAGAATCTCAAACATTATTGAAGGTGTGTCTGTGTGTGCGCTAAGCGCACCCATTAGCCCAGACATTCTGCTTCTGAAACCTTACTGAAGTTCTCACGCAGGTGTTTTTTGATATTGACATTCGTTTATGCAGGTTACCGCGAGAAATGTGGGCAGGGGAGGTAAGGGGGATAGATGGGAGGAAAGAGAGGTAGGGAGGGGGAGGGGGGGGGGGCGTACGGATGGGTACCTTCAAAGGGGGGGGGGGTCGTAAATGAGGGTCCAGGATTGCATCAACACGCTTGACCCTGGTCCCAATCCGCACCAGGCGTCGCCACAATGTCGCGGCATGTCTACGACTTGATTGTCTGCTACCTTAGCTCTCTTTGAAAGTGTGCATGATCAGCGCAAAGCTACGGCGCTGCGAGCGTGCGAATTTGCGCCTCCTTTGAGACAATCTGTACACGGGTTTTTTTCCTGAGTGTCACGGTCGAATGTTCAGGTCCTCGCGAGCCGCCTCGCTAAGGCCTCTCACGTGGTAGAATACCGCATTCGCTAAGGCCTTGGCGGTATCCGGTGCATTTTTGTATCACATGAGAGACTCAAGCGAGGCGTCGAGGATCTGAACCACGTCGACCCTGACACTCAGGTTGAAAGCCTCTGCCTTGGCTCACGCGCTCTCGGTCATGCTTTCGGCGGCGGAGCGCTGCAAGTGAGCAACCGACTTGGTAGTCAAAACAACGGTGACCCCGAACCCAAAAGCAATAAAAAAGGTCGCAAATTGGAATCAAAAAGAAGCAAAAGGGATAAGTTCTGCTTCCTACCTATGAAGAAGGGTCCTTGCTTTGCTTCTCAGCTGAAATGTTGTTCTGGATCTTCGTTCGATCTCAAACTCCAGCTACCACGCGGAAGTTCGCCCGAACTTCGGCAATTAAACCTTTACTTTCCAAACAAAACATAACGCAACGAATATGTAGACGACCTGGGTCAATCTGAGATCTCCTCATAGAACCGCAGAAAGAATCATAACAGAACTATGACTACGTCACAACACGTCAAACAACGTAAAATGATTATATGAGGCAAATGAGAACACGAGTATCAGTTTGCATTAAATGCAGAAACTAATGGTATCGAGAACACAACATAATAGGAAATGTAACTTATCGCAATGGATAACTTTTGGACATCCTATTGAATGGCACGGCTGAGCTGAGATCGACTTGGGAATGGTCAAAACAGCGAATGACCCCAACCTAAAAGCAATAAAAAAGGCGAAAATTGAAAGTATAAATCTTGCTTCCTACCTTTGAAGGAGGTGTCCTTGTTTTGCTTCTCAGCTGAAACGTTGTTCTGGCCCGCGGGTTAGTACAAATGGTTCCTTCTCTTCCGGCAATAGGCACAAATTTGTACGATGTGTGCTGTTTCGACAGTACTTGCACTAGACGCGATTTCCACACGACTTAGAGTATCGTATTTCGAGGTAAAAGATGCACAAGTTACGGGCTTAAACTCTTTCTCGTCGTTCCTTGGCCGCCAAAAATAGTATCAAATCCCGCTTTTCTGGTGTTTAATGCGTTTGTGTCTGACGTGGGTTGGGTTCGCTAAGAGCCGGTGGCTTGAGTAAGAAAAATTCTAGATGAAAATGTGGCAAGTTACGGGAAGGAGACTAAAGTTGTACTGTACCTGAAGACTGGTGTCTAGTGGTATATCGAGGTTTTAACCTCCATAACTGGGCACACGAACAGATTGAAAAGAAGAAATTTTATCCGTATGGCAAAACGAAAACCAACGGCCTCAAGGCCAACAACGAACAAAACAACGAGAAAAAACACAAAAAAATGTCCCGATTTGACCCTCTAGCAGGCCTTCGCACAGTTATGTCTGGCTCAATTCTCGATGACCAGTTTTCGACACCCACGAGCCTCTTCTTTTCGAAGTTCCCGTTTTCTTCCCCTTTTATGCGGGTCAAACCGCCTCTTCTTCCCGCCAGCTCCATATTGTCGATCTCCAGTCGCTCCTTCCAACATCACTCCTCTCCAAGGAGCCGTCGACCTCGAGGCGGTGGGAGTTTTTCATCTGCGCCGGGTGCTCGCATCCTGATGGCTTCATGTAGGTGTCTGGCATTCATTACTCCGCAGTGAGTGTCGTAAAACTGAAATAAACTTTTAGGCGCTCTCGCTTCTATCCATACTCTACCATTTTCAACAGGGTAGACGCTAAAAGGTATAACTGGTCCGGGCTGGCGAATTCTTCCAAGGTGGTGTCGATTATAGTCCACAGTTCTGCCATGACTTTCCATGTGTGTACCTCGCGACGTTCTATTCGTGGCCAGACAGATATCAGTTCTTCTTCTTCTTCGACTCTTCCAAGATGTTTTTTGCAGGCCAACATGATGTCCGTAATCGCTCTTCTTTCCGCGTAACCATCGGCCACACGATGACCCACTTTTGACAATGATTTAGTCCTTGCAAGGCATTCTTGAGTTGGCTGAACTGCATTACCTTAGTAATCACTCCTCCTCGCCGGCTTAGACCCCGGACAGACTTCACGCGACTTGATCGTCGCGACTGAATCGCGACGAGACAACTATTACAACATCATTCCATGCCGATCAACTTGCATTTCGGTTGTGATACTTTTCTAGCCCGAAATTTTTGAATGTGGAATGAAAATGAATGGAAATGTCGGCGATTGAGTTGCGACGATCAAATCGCGTGAAGTCTCTCCGGGGCCTTAGCCACTATACTTGGGTAATTCGAGAATTTTTCATCGAATGAATGAATATCGAATAAATTCGAAAAGGAAAAATTTCGAATAAACGAATATCGAATAAATTCGGAAAATCAAAAATATCGAATGAATGAATTTCGAATAAATTCGGAAAATTAAAAATATTGAATGAATGAATTTCGAATAAATTCGGAAAATCAAAAATATCGAATGAATGAATATCGAATATATTCGAAAATTGGAAGTCGAATTTCGAATAAATATTCGAATGATTTATCGAATAACTAAAACAATCACATCTCAAACTTGCCGACATACAGTGATCAGCGTGCCGAAAACCCCCATTGTACCAAGTTTCAAGCAATTTTGTGACTTTCGCCCAACTACCGTATCCCTACCGTAACATCGCTAAATGGTCCCGCAGTTCAAAATGAACATCATATTCATGATCAGCGTGCCAAAAACCCCCACTGTGCCAAGTTTCAGGCAATTTCGTGATTTTCGCACAACTACCGTATTCCTACCGTAACCGCGCTACATGGGCGAATGACGAAAAATGAGCATCGGATTCGTGATCAGCACGTCCGATAACCCCCGGGACCAAAATTTTACAAAATTTCAAATTTTTGTGTTCAACGGTGCACCATGATACCCCCATCATGCTTCATGAAACTCGGAGCAAAATCTACCCCGGAGGACTTTTTTCTGGACCTCGTTCACGCACTATTTCTCTTTCTTTAACGAAACTCGGAGTTAACTCCGAGTTTCGCGCGAGCCTGAAACGCGCACCAAACTCAGAGTTAACGCGCAGCTGAGCTGCGCGTTTTGTCGCGTAGCGTCTCGGTGGAACGAATTACGCTACGTTTCCATACTTGGCATAAAGTACGTCTTGCGGGGTATCCTGCCATATAACCCTTTCCCCAATTTGGTTTGCTTATGCAGGTGTTAATGGTCCCTGAACGGTGCGTGTTAACTCAGAGTTAACTCTGAGTTAACTCTGAGTTTGAGCTGCGCGTTTCGACAGGTTTACTACCGGCCCAGAATTAACTTTTTTCTTATCAGCATCAACAATGTAAAAGCAAAGGGCTTGCTCTACTTTCTACATCAATTAAAATCCACATATGTTTTTACTGTCGCAAGCAGTCGGAAGAATGCGACTCTCCATACAGTTCAAAGGTATAACGGTTGCAAAAGATGCATTACCGAGTTTTGCGAAAAAAACGCGGACGAACTGGGCTTGATACTCAGCAGTTGGCTTTGCAACAAAGTCGAATAATCTGAATACGGAGTCATTCGAATACGAATTCGAATAAACATTCGAATAAAACATTCGAATAAAATCTATTCGAAACTCCGTTTTTTGATTATTCGAGTTTTCGAATGATATTCGAAACCTCGTTTTTTGATTATTCGAGTTTTCGAATAATATTCGAAACCTCGTTTTTTGATTATTCGAGTTTTCGAATTTTATTCGAAACCCTGTTTTTTGATTATTCGAGTTTCGAATATTATTCGAAATTGGAAGAACTCCGAATATCGAATTTCGAATACGAATATATTCGAATGTTTTATTCGAATGATCAAATTTCTATTCGATTCGGACCCAAGTATATTAGCCACCATGTAATTGAAGGCTAGCGTCTAAAGATCTCCAGTCGCTTCCAACAGTACTGTTTGCTGAGGGTTTGCTCGGACTCCTTTGGAGAGTTTGCATAAAGATTCGGAACAATGGCAAAGCTTCTCAAAAAGCATGCCTCACAGAGGTTGACTTTTAGGAGCCCGTTGATTGTGCCACAGTGAAATTATAAGTAATTGAAGTAGGTGAAACCATGCACTGAATACTACAAGATCTCCCAGAAACATTTGTTACGCGAACTGTGGCGCCCGTTTCAAAAATGTGAAACTACTTTCGAGTGGACCTAGTATTTTTACGCCACTTTTTAGATAGTCGTAAGGCGCTCGAACTATGTCAAGATGTCGCTACTTTTTAGATGACATTAGTGGTGTTTAAACGCTGGAAACTCTGATCCGCCTTGACAGACAAATGGGAACGAATCCTAACAGGAGAATTTAGAACGATCTGTGGTTGGACTAATTGGTTGAGTTTGGACCATCTTGCTGTACCCAGCCGCACCTCCTCGTTACCTTGTGGCAGCAGACCATGAAGGGCAGTGAAGATATGTAGATTAGTTTGTGGGTGTTGCTGCTTATAGTAAGTTTACACTGCGCAAAAACACCAAAATATGCAGATGAAGACGATTAAAGCAAGCATCTTCTTTCTTTGTACTGCTTCAATGCATCTATCTCAGAAGTCAAAAATTAACAACTGATCAATCCGTTTTTTAGGAAACTTCATTCTGTCTCTTGGGTTTTATGACGGCGATTGCTGTCACGAGTGCCGTTTTGATTTTTCAGATAATAAGCTTCTATGGTCATAATGAAACAACAAATGGTAAGAAAATGACGCGCTGTTTCCCTCAACTTTCCCAAAGAAGGTAGATAGAACTCTTCACGGTAACATGGTCACGACAGGACGTGCCACTTTGAAGACACTCATGAATTAAGATTGGAAACGTTGTTTACACAACGAATAAGAGATACAAAGAATAAGAGAACTTCTACCGTTGAAATAATCTTCTCTTTAGCAATTTTAGTTCAATGCGTTCTCCGAATTGCTTAAGGAGGATTTTTCGCTTGATCTGATATTAAACATAGCTGCTGACAAATGACTGACTTTGTTGCAGAGTGAAGGTACTTAGAGAATATCACACTCTCTTAGCAAAGTATTAGGTCGTTCCGAAAGTTCTTTCCGTTTTTTCAACCTATCATAAAATCACATGGAATGAAGGTAAAGAAACGCTTCAAGCGCTATCCGACGCATTTTTTCTTCCTCTTTTCAACAGTCATATTTCTGTGTCGCTTGCTCTTGTGGTCAGTGAGATAATGGTCGAAATTTCGAACCCATGGTTTTTACCATGTCCAACTTTAGCAATTTTTCACAGTTTTCTTTTTTGGCTTTTGCAGAAGCTTCAACAGCAATCGGATAAAGTAAACAAAGTGCAATTTAATGGAATTTTTCGGTAATTTCAACTGGCATCTCAGTATTTTTTGAGACAACTTTTCCAGAAGTCTTCACTTTTTCGAAGTCACAAAACACACAAACGCTGCGAACATTGGCAAATCTTCGGATTTTGACACTATAAAAATTCGTTTATAATTGTTCACTATTTTTTCAAAGTAACTGAGTGTTTACCGCTTCGAAATATAAGATATTGCATTTTACGTGCACACCCTCAGGCGGATTCAAAATCAAGAGTTATAGAAATTTTATCGCCAAAAACCCCAATAAATTGGGAAGAAGAATACTCAATAGAAAGAGGAAGAAAAGCTGCATCGAATGACACCTTAGTTGTGCGCCGTTTTATGTTCTATGGTTCTTGGCATCGCCAAAGGTGGAATTTGATAGCATCAGAAAAATAATTCTAAAAAAATTTTAAGGTTAGCAATAGATGCCAAAAAATTCCATTGAATTGCACTTTGTTTACTCTATCCGACAGCTATTAAAGCTTCTCCAAAAGTCAAAAAAGAAGATTGAGAAAATTTGCCAAAGTTGGACATGGTAAAAACCATGGGTTGGAAATTTCGCCCATTATCTCACTGACCACAAGAGCAAGCGACACAGGAATACGACCGTTGAAAAGAGGAAGAAAAAATGCATCGGATAGCGCTTGAAGCGTTTCTCTACTTTCATTCCACGTGTTTTTATGATAGGTTGAAAAAACGGAAAGAACTTTCGGAACGACCTTATATTTTACGATGAATTTCTCTGCAAACACACTGCACAATGCTTTATTTCATCTTATCATAAGAAGAAACAGGCAATGAAGAAAAGTCCTCGTTTCATTCATTCGCACTGATGAAATACCTAAATATATTTCCGACAACACTGCTTGAAGCAAGGGTTGGAAATACTTTTGTCATTGTTGCACTTCTTCACACATTCTTTGCTGAAAACACAACATTTTTGTTGATCATCAAAAAACGTAGTTTCAAACTTACAAACTTGGTTTTTCTTGCATTTTTCGTACACGTTCGAGGAGACCAATAGCGTTCGTTAGCCCTAAGAAACAAGCTCCCAGGAAGAAAAAGAAAAACAGGAAATTCATAGTTGTTTTCAGCAATATGAGTGTGCTCTGAAAAATTCTGATTAAATTTGAGTTTGTTTATACTGGTACACGAGAGAAAAGTGACAGCACAGCGTGTGTGGCTGGTTGAGCTCCTTTGCAAGACATGGATATACTGAAAAAGATGGATTGAAGCGAACTTGCGATTAGAAGGTTAGAAAAGTTCGATGAAAGCTGCACTGCGTTTGTAAAGAGTGAGTTGATGTAGTGTGTGATGCTCGTAATACATATAATCCACTGAAGTTGTAGGATTCGTAATAATGAACTGTGTTTTTTCTCTTTTGTGCAGATTGTCCTCTCTTCGATATCAAAGAACATTATGCCTGGACAAGAACAGAATTTTTAATCATCTAAGCGAGCATGAAAAAATTACTCGCAAAATGAAGTTCCCGTAAATTCTCGAGAAATTTATTTAGACTATCATATTATACTTGGTCGTCAACGACCATCAGGGAGGAACAAGTATCGTGACTGAAATTGGCATCTCTAAGCGGAGTACTGGCGTTGATTATAGATTAAGAAAGTTTTTAAACTCTTGGAAAATTTTCCTCAAACTGCTATAACTTTGAGCTGTTTGTGAGGTGTAAGTTTTGCTGCAAGAACAATGTTCAGCCTATCTCGAAAAGTAGCCCATGAACGCCTCCCAGATACACGGTTGTCTCAAAATAGGCCTGTTTCTAAAGGATGGTCGCAGGACAATTACAGCTGAAGAGCTCATATGTAATTGCTGCGCGCTTATTACTGTTGCTTTGATGATTTTGAGCATCTATTTTGGAACGCTTTATGTGGTGCAAAAATTTCTTTAAAAAAATGTGAAATACTGACCAGTTTGCATACAAAGATGCTCCATTTTCTGATTTAAAAATTTGAGGTTTTCTCTCCTTGGCAAAGTGAATCAAATGTTTCAACCTGCAAATGGCGTTTTCTAATATCCGGTGCATCTTTTGCGAGGAAAGTTGCGCTCAGGTGAGAGTTTGACTGCTTGTAATAGCGCATATAGCAGAATTTGAGTGCAATTGTAAGTTTGAAGTCGACGAACTCCCCATTCAGTCACTTTATACTGAAACGATTCTTTTTGTTCTATGAGTATGTGCAGTGGAATTTTCATCTCCAGAAAGATTTTTTATATAAATTAGGCAGGTTTTGATACTATTATAATCAAAAGTGATATCTGAAAGAGTTTCTTTGCTCTTTATAACCTCAGTAAAAGTGTTGGAAATCAAAAAAAAAAGAAAAAACAAACGGCCTTGTACTTTTAAACAGCCTCATATTCAGGTGAGCTTTCGCATCGCAGTGAAAAGCGCAAACTCTGGACATTCGGCTCCCGCCAGAGTGCCGAAGCCACGCCAGCGCTGCGCCGGCGCCGAGCCAGCGCCGAGCTTCCCCGCCGCTGTTTCGATCGATACATATGCAGTTTGTTGGGACGTGGCTAGTTGACCTGGTTCTCCGCCAGGTAAATGCACCGACCATTGATCGGATTTGCCAGAAGCTCTGGTAGCCCTTGCCCGCACAGGGTCGTCTAGCCCCCCCTCCTCCCCGAACAAACGGGACAGCTCAGCGCTGGCTCGGCGCCGGCGCAGCGCTGGCGTGGCTTCGGCACTCTGGCGGGAGCCTTCCGTTAAGAATTTTTTTCATTAGCGCAAAGTTTTATTTCGTGAAGAGCATTAAATGCGATTTGCATCTCTTAAGAAAAATCAAAAAAAATCTTTTATAGCTTCAGTCTCTCATGCTTAGGATCAAAGGCAATTGTAGCCTTACTGCATAACTGAAAGTTTAGAATTACTTCCAGAATTGCTATTGCAAACGCTATCCTCTATTAGAACCAAGGGAACATAGGAAAAGAGAATTTACTGGTGACTGTCGGATTTAGCTGCAGGTGGTATATATATATGTATACTGTGTTTGTGACTTATGATTTCTGTGACAATGGCTTTTGTGACGTACTCAGAAAAAAGTTTGTATAATAGATTTTGTATGCTTCGAAGCTAAAGAAAACTCAGGTTAAGCTACTTAAAAGTGATACCAAATCATTGCATCATTATTCTTCTCATTTTCTTTGGCCAATTCGAAGCTTAGGATGGACAAATCCGTTTGTTGTCTCTGCACCGTGTACAGAAAAGTTCTCTATCTTGCTCAAATCAGCTCTAGCCCAAATTTTTTGTTACAGATGCTGCTAAATCTCCTCTACATGCCGAAGTGTGTCTCTACATTCTCCGACAACTCTTGACTATTAGTAAAAAAGCTTTTGTCGCAAAGAGACCTACCTTTCAAAATAAGAAGATTAATTAATCGAGTCATCGGAAAACGCCTATTTGTGAACTGACTCATTTACATCGCAGGCTGTTTAGGGCTATTAAATCCTAAGCCTTTTGTTCGTTGGGAATTTGTTACAGCAAGTGACGCACAATTCTCATATCGCTACGGTCTTTAATCTATTCGTGCTAACGGGAGCGAGATTTGAACTGCAATGAAAAATTTGAAAACGTTTTGGTTTTCATAGCTGCAAATTCTGAGAGGCAACAAAGAAATCACCATTACCATCATTCTTTCGAACTCAAAGTGCCATTATCTTATATCACAAATTTATATTATTTGAACAATCGATTTAGTTGAGTAAATTGATTGTTCAAATAGTATAAATTGATATCTGTTTTTGCTTAAGGTTTAACAAAATTGGCGGTTGTTTGAATTAGTTCAGTAAATTGATTGTTCAAATAATATAAATTTGTGATATAAGATAATGGCACTTTGAGTTCGAAAGAATGATGGTAATGGTGATTTCTTTGTTGCCTCTCAGAATTTGCAGCTATGAAAACCAAAACGTTTTCAAATTTTTCATTGCAGTTCAAATCTCGCTCCCGTTAGCACGAATAGATTAAAGACCGTAGCGATAGAGAATTGTGCGTCACTTGCTCTAACAAATTCCCAACGAACAAAAGGCTTAGGATTTAATAGCCCTAAACAGCCTGCGATGTAAATGAGTCAGTTTACAAATAGGCGTTTTCCGATGACTCGATTAATTAATCTTCTTATTATGAAAGGTAGGTCTCTTTGCGACAAAAGCTTTTTTACTAATAGTCAAGAGTTGTC